GTCGCTTTAGTGGCTCCAAGTCTTGCTACAGATGCAGATGTTTTAATAGTTCTCTTTATGTGACTGTCCACCATTTTGTTGATTTTCTTTTTTTAATGGCAAACAACTTTGTGTTCCTAGGACTATTATTTTTTGTGAAACATTATGAGGGCATCTTTTGAGCTATAATGCATTCACAACGAACTCTTATAATTCCTTATTGTTTGAGCCTATCATTACCACATGATGTTGCACTTGGAATCATGAGTTCTCAGCAGAATGCCTGAAGCATTTGGCCCTTTGTTATTAAACACTATCACAGTCACAACATTATTCGACTTGAGAGGCTTTTGTTGTTTTTGAGTCTGCAAAAAAGCCCCTGATGCTTAAAAAAACATTCTCAGATTTTCTTTTTGGATAAGTATAAAGATGCCAAACTTTAGCTTTTTTATGTACTTGAACTATGCATATACATCATTAAACGGCTACTACCATTTTATTGTTGACTGTTGTGATGTTAATATCACTTGTTATTACTCCCCATATTCTTTACTGTATTTCCCTTTTTGGTTCAGGTATTTAAATGACAATGAAAGGCTGTCCAACTGGACATGTATATTATTAACAAGCAGTCTTGCCGTATGTATTATGTGCAATATTGTAATTGCAGAAGACACTTTGGAGGCAATATTTTGTATTACAACTGTGCTCTGTCATGCAGATAAATTTGCCCACATTTTAAATATGTCATAATTATCAAAATCTAAAAGCTATGCTAGAGCTGTTGGAGCATTGGGATTTTGGGGGAAAAACTTGAGAGCCAATTACTTTTACTCTTTGATTTTACATTTTAAACTGTGCTTTTAGTGTACTATTTCATTCTGGCAGCTGGCCTTGGTGCATATGAATAAGACTTTATTGAATACTGATATTTTAAAAATTAAGTTTGTCGTTGATGAGATAAATTTTAAAAAATATCAGCAGCATTCACACAGATACAATTCCTGCTCTTTTTCCCACCTTTCAACCTAAATGATGATTTCCCAAGTTCCAAACTGCACTGATTGTCACTAATTTTGGCGGCGTGCGACTGATTCAATCTCGACGTGATTATTAGATAAATTTGCACATTTAAAAAAAAAAAAAAAGTAAATGTGAGAGGTTGGGGGAAGGAAACGGTCTCGTGTTTTTGTGGACGATGATTGGTTGGAGGCACTGAGACTGGGAGGGGCCTCAGTGCTGCTGTTTCTGTAGACAGAGGCAGAAGGAGGGAGACAGAGTGTGAGAGAGACGGCAGAGCAGGACAAATGAACACAGAGGGGTTCTCCCAGCATCGGTATGCCTGCCTTTAACATTTCAACTCCAGACGAAGTTGCTGCTCTAAAGGCGGGAAATAAACCTGCGGGTGTGTTTTACTCCACCTTTGTGAGGACTGGTTTTTGACTCCTGTAACACTACACTCTGCTGACTTTGTACCAGCGTACAGTATTCTGCTGGGATCTTACAGTGAAGGACCAAAGAGAAGCTGACACTCAAATAAGTGCAGAGGGAAGCCTGGTGAAAGAAGAGGAGAAGAAGAAACAGAAAATTGGGGAAAGTGGTTTGAAGGACAGATTATGCTTAATCATCCCCACAATATGCAGTTCTTTAAACAATGACTTTTCTCCGGAGGCTTTATCAGTGACCCGATGGACTACAAATTGATAGGAGCTGCAGTCTGAGATTTCTGGATTTGCATCTGACATTGAGGACATCAATATATTCATAAGAGTCACATTCCTGGCAGTTTTCTTCCTCTGTGCCTTTACCTGGGAACCTCCAGACAAAGGTTTTTACCTTACTAGTACTGTAACCGTGCCAGCTCTGAGGACAACACCAGGGAACTTTCTGACACCTTTATCTGCCCTTCCAATCCTTCCTGTGTTTGAAATGGAGCATGGGGGTCTTTGTTTGGACTGAAACCAAACTGCTGATAAAAACAGCCGGGCTACCAGGCGTAATAGTGGCTTTTTGGATTTATCGTACCCTTTAAGGGCCCCCTCCCCTTATGTGTTTTACTGCCTGAGATCATGAATTCCTCCCTGGATTCCCTGAACCAAAGCTCGCTGGACTCAAATTTATCCACTCCCTTCTGCTTACTTGAAATTGGCTATTCCCAAATTTTTAGCACATGCCTCCTTGAGGTATCCATCATCCTCCTCCTCACTATCCTGATTATCTGTGGGAACTTGGTGGTGATATTCGTGTTTCACTGTGCCCCTCTGCTCAGCCAGCACACCACCAGTGCTTTTATTCAGACTATGGCATATGCAGACCTGCTAGTGGGGGTCAGCTGCCTCTTCCCCTCCTTGTCTCTGCTTCACCATCTGCAGGGATTGGATCCCAAACTGACCTGCCAGGTGTTTGGATACATGGTTTCAGTTTTGAAGTCCGTTTCAATGGTGTCCCTCGCGTGCGTGAGCGTAGACCGCTACATCGCCATCACACGGCCTCTGACTTATTCGTCTCTGGTCACTCCCTGTCGGGTGCGCTGCTGCATCGCTCTGATATGGTTCTACTCTGCTTTGGTGTTCCTCCCATCTTTTCTTGGGTGGGGGAAGCCTGGCTATCACGGAGACGTGGTCGAGTGGTGTGCGGTCGAGTGGAGGACTAGTCCGGCTTTCACAACCTTCATCGTCGCTCTGCTCTATGCCCCAGCTGCTCTCACAATCTGCTTTACATACGCCAACATCTTTAAGATCTGCAGACAGCACACGCGGGAGATCAGTGAGCGCCACGCTCGCTACAGACCACAGCAGCAGCAGGGTCCCGGACTGACTGCTGGAGCAGTCTTGAAAGATTGCACCACAGTAGAGCAAGAGCAGCTTCCCCAGTTGTCCCAATCGCAGAAGACCCAGCACCACCAGCCTCAGTATCAGCAGTCTACTTACCCCGACAAGCGATACGCTATGGTATTGTTTCGCATAACGAGTGTGTTCTACATCCTCTGGTTGCCCTACATCCTGTACTTCCTGTTGGAGAGCGGAGGAATATACCACCACCCTGCAGCCTCGTTTCTTACCACATGGTTGGCTATCAGCAACAGCTTCTGCAACTGTCTCATTTACAGCCTTTCCAACTCGGCATTTAGAAAGGGCCTGAAACGCCTCTGCTCCTTCTGCCTGCGGCGCGGCGGCGATGGCTTCGGAGTCGGGAAAACCAAAAAGGCATTTGTTGGCTCGGTCGAAAAGGGATGCACAAAGCAGTGGTATGGATATGACAATGGAGACATGAGAGTTGGCACAACGTGTCACGTGTAGTTCAAATGGGGAGGAAAACACAGATGCTAAAATGTCATTGGAGCTGAAATGAAGCTTCAGCTCTTCAAATCTTTTAAAATCTGCTTTTAAGAGATGCAAGAAGGTATCGTTCTGATCGTGTTTTTTCTGACTCTGCCTTGACAAGCCAGCAAAGGTAGAGAATAAGAATGAAAAGCATTGTAATTTGAAACAGAAAAAAAGAGTCCACATTAGCCCTTCAAGGTGTTTCGTTTGATGACGTGAACACAAGTTCATATGGACAGGAGGCTGACAGATGAAGGGTTCTGGTATGACCAAGAAGAAGGTCTCTATGTCCTCTCAGTGGGAGTAAATTCTTTAAACGTTGGACATAATGTTTATCTGCTGATGCTGTTTTTGGAACTGAATACTTGATTTCGTCCAAACAACCAAATGATGCTAGAAGCAGAAAGTTCTCATGAAAAGTTTTACGAGCTTTGTTTGGAGCAACGTGAACACAATTTGTCGCGTTTCACTTAAAAACGGTGGGGGGGGCGGGGGGAAAGGATGTCAGTTCAAGGAGATGATGTGATTTAATGAGACTGTCTGTAAAGAGCAGGCAGAGTCAAACTGATCTTTAAATAAATGTTATTTATTGATGTTAAAATGTCTGTTGAAAATGTGGGTTTGCACTGCGCACCTGTTATTTGTTAAAAGGACCAAGCTGTGGTGTACGAGTCCTCAACTGCCAAAAATCAAACGCAGGGTTCAGTAGTATGGATGCTAAGAGTCACAATCAAAAATATAAATCATTAATAAAATGAAATAATTATTTAATTAGTTAGCTGACATTTCAATTGATGATATTGTCAAAATCTCTAAATAGTATGCTGATATTTTATGCTACAGTCCACAATGTTAAAATCAAACGGTGAATAGTTCTAACACTAAATAATAAAACGTTTTCATTAAATAATCAATTGCTGAAAAAAAAATTCTAATGGTAAATATTTCATTATTTATTCATTTGTTTGTTCAATTTTTAACCCTTAAAGACATAAAGTCATTGAGTGATGTCTAATTCTGCTACGTAGTGATTGGTCAGTAGTTTGCTGTGCATTAGTCCAATCCAATGTCCTCAATGATCTCCAGTGACTATTTTATGACTGACTACATCACAGTGATTGATTTTTTTAAAATAAGTATTACATACTTAAGTATAAAATTAATATAAATTTACAATTTTTATTTCAAATTAAAATTGTAATTAATATATTAGTTATGTGTTTATTTAAGCAGTTAGTTTCCTGTTTAATTTAGCATGCATCTGTGTTTAACTACTTATTTATTTGGTTGTGGCACTTCTCCCATGAAATTAGCTTTTTTTTTTTTTTACCAGTTCTGTTGCACCTTAATTTGCTTATGTATTATAATATGCTTGCAAAACAAAGATAGCATATTTTTTCCATATCCTCTTTGCAGATTTTTTGGGGTTAAACTTACAGATTTCTTTTTATTCAGATATATAGCGGGGTTCCAACACTGGCTGTAAAAGTATTTTGTAGGTCTGAACAGAAAAAGACAAATGTATTAAGAATAAGGCTATATTTTCTATCAAGTTACATCCATATGTTCGTACAATCTGTGGTTTACTTTAAGTTTTGTATTTAAAGCCTAAACTCAATTAAATATTTGCAGTTAATTCAAAAACCAAATTTGAATGCTACATTTTTTTTTGCCTTTAGATTAGCATGCATCTACTGTTAGATACATGTACCTTATTTGATTTGGAATAGAGCAAGCATCTCAAGAAAATATGGACCTATGTGATTGTGAAAGTATGCAAAACCACTCGAGGATTGGTGTGAGACTTGAAGATTTGTGTGCATGTTAGTACTGTCTTTTCTTTGCATTAGTATAAACAAATTGCAGGAAAAAAAAAAACATTTAAATGAGCTTAATTGTTCATTGTCACTTGTCAAGTTATGTGTTTTGAGCTTTCAAGACTCTTGTTAAAGTAAACATTCCTTAGCTTTATATCTCGTCTACAGTAATGTGCCAAAGAAGGTCCAGTTTTGTCCCTAAGTGTAATATCTGCAATATGACTGTTTTTACACAGAAATGTTAACCACTGTCTACTGCACTGTGTCGCGTCAGTGATGCCTTGTGTGCATGTGTCTAAGACTGTTTCCAAGCATATTGTGATATAAAGTTGCCTTTATTTAAAAAAAAAACAAAAAAAAACTAGTAACAATAAATCAACTGTTGGGGAAAAGTGTTTTTCTTTAACAGCAAGTGAGGGCTAAAATAAAAGGCATGTGACTGTTTTTAAATGATTCAGCTTCAGAGGCAAAGTTTAGTTTTACTCTTTTGGTAGCTAACGAAGTTAAAGTGTTTGTGTTGCTTCAGGTATTTAAAGCAGTTGTCACCATTTTTTTTTTTTTTTTTTTTTTTTTTTTTTATCATTTCAAAAAAAAAAATTTTGACAGGGACACACAAAATTTTT